TTTTGTAATTTGCATAATTTTTCTAAACTGGACCATATCCGAAAAATTTTACAAAAAAATGCAAAATTCAAATTTATAAGAAAATTGTTCAAATTAAAGTTGTTTGCTATATCATATTCATAATTTTTGTTTTGCACATGATTGATCAAAAATGGACCGTAATGTAAAAATTTTGATGAAAAGTGTAAAATTTAAATTTTTTACTTTCCTATCTGTATACAAAGGTAAAGCCAATTTACAGTCTTGTAACCTATAAATGGTTTTTCGCAAGTGGAATGATGAAGTTTATGCGGCATCATTTAGTTCCTTGCTTAATATCGGAAGGAAATAAAAAAAAAATGTGTTCTTAAAATGTACAGCATAAATTGGACAGTAAATTATACTATTTACCTTTATACAAACAACGCTATTACAATTATATATTATGAATTTATTACGAACAGGACCTGCTAAACACATGTTAAAACATCAAAATATCTTTGCTTGATTTTAAATTTAACATGTTTAACTAAAACTAAAATTAAATATAAGTAAAAGTTCTTACCACGTTTTATTTAGCAACCATAACCATATTGTTTTGTTTAGTTTTGTTATTGTATCGGTTCGAACAAGTGACAATCCCAAAGTCAGATTTACATTGTACAAATAATTGATTAATTCATATTTTTCAAATAATTGTAGTATTTATATAAATATATAATTTTAAAACAATACTTACCGTGTATTACTTTTGTTATTAAGCGAAATATATTTGAGTTATTCAATTATTCAGAGTACTTTAAATTTAAATATCATTTTATTATTGTAGAACGGACTGATATGCGCGGATGTGTTGCGCACTAATCTGTTGATATAACGCGCATATGTTATAAGCACTATTTATATACCGAATTATCGTAGGAGCCCAGCGTGAGTTATAATAACTCACTATTATAACTCACGCTATTTGTTTATTGATACTATTAACTGCTCAAAAGCACTTGAATAAATAATATATAAATTAATAGGAGTAGATAAACATTATTTTGTTTTTAAAAATCAACTGAAAGTTAAAAATCATGGATTATATTTCAAAACATGATGAATTAACCAACAATTATTACGTCCAAATAAGGACATTAATTGTAAAAGAGTACACATTTGTATAAGATTCGTTTCTTCCATCATTTGTAACTTGATGCTTTGTTATAAAAACAATGTATGAACATAATAATAAAATTTTGCATAAAATTTCCTCATTAACCTATTTTATTAGTTGAAATTTTAAAGTTTAAAATTCTCTGGATCACAATACTTTCTTATATTATTACTGTTTGTATACATCCCATATACAGTATGTTCCATAAGTTGGATCCATAGGGTATTTTCTTAACATTACGATTAGAAAAAAACGTCATAAGACATTAAACTCTGCTTTTTTGTACATAATTTTACCTTTTAGAATAATAAAAGCAATTATCAAAAACATGTCCTTACTTATTTATGTCTCACCCTGTAAAGGAAAAAAATTTTTAACCCCTTTTTATATTCGTAGAATGCCAAAAGATGCAACAATAAGATTTGGTACAAAAAGTTATAATCGATCAGCTTTCTCCTGAAATAACCGTTATCAAATAAGTGGTATTTCTTAAGTTTAACACCTTGTATCTTAAAAACCAGTTATAGTATTTGAATGGTCCCATGGACAATATTGCTTAAGAGGCCGAGAACGGCAACATATCAGAAATGTATGACATTTAACAGGTCGCCACTTTGCCATAAGAGATGTGCGGTGTCTTTTTCCGCTGTAACCCTCAAGCTATAACCTACACGCAGTAATCTACACGTTGTAAATTAATTGAGCTGAGTTAACGGAAAAAGCGACAGTTACAACTCGAAGTTACTAAAGTCTATTCAGTTTTCATTTACGCCGCGTCAAAACAATTTCTCCCAACCAGCAACAGCTCACGTGATATTTTTTTGCGCTTCTATTGGTTAATCGGTCGTTAGCCATTCAGACGACGCGCAAATATTTTTTGTCAGAGTCGAATTCAGTTCAATTTGGATAATTATAAACGGCGTTTTGGTAGCATTCACCGTGTTGGTTAGTTTAGACATTTTGTATGTTTGATTGATTATAATTCATTATATTATAGTTTAGATATACATAGATTGTGTTATTTATTTTTTTTGTTTTTGTGGTTTTTGTTAGTTTGAACATGTTTTACTCTATTTGATGGACATTTAATTGACTATATTTTGTAATTGCTGCGTGATCTATGTCCTCCACAGATACAGCAGATGAAGTCCAGAAAAATGTTTCTACTCCTTCTAAAAAGCGACTGAAAAAGGTACATTTGGTCATCCGTACTAAAGAAATGGTTCTTAATATTTATAAGCATTACATTTTATAGAACCCTGATATGTTAGTACATGATGTTGAAAGGAGAGTTGCTGATAAAACAGGGATGTGCGCTAAAACCGTTTTTAATGTTATGAAGGAGTATAGGCAGATTCATAAATTTTCTGAACCAAAAAGAAAGCTACGTTATAAACAAATTAGTGGCTCTGTGGATGATTTTGATAAAAATGCAATAAGGCGCAAAGTACATCAATTCTTCTTAAGAAATTAACTTCCAACAATTGATAAGGTTTTATAAGAAGTCAACGATGATCCATATTTGTCTACTTTTAAGCGAGCTACATTTTACAAGCTTTTCAAAACCCTTAATTTTAAATTTAAAACTCGAGGAAAAAATAGTTTGCTTTTAGACAAAAATGAAATTGTTTCGTCCTACGCCACAAAAAATAAAACGGTACAGAGAAGAAAAGCAAAAAATATATTATCTTGATGAGACTTGGATTAACGCAGGCCACACAAAATCAAAAGTATGTTTCGATATGTCGGTTTTTTCATCCAGACAAGCCTTTTTGGATGAACTTTTAACTGGTTTTAAAAACCCATCAGGTATGTGCGTAAAAACAGTTCATTATATGCCATACTGGAAGTGAAGAAGGCTTTGTCTCTAATGCACTTTATGTATTTGAGTTGAAAAATCCGGTGACTATCATGAAGAAATGTGTGGAGAATCGTTCAAAGAGTGGTTTTCAAACACCCTACCAAAATTAGAAGATAACTGCTTTATTATTCGAGAAAGCTGGAAAAAATATCTACGACGTCTAAAAAGGTGATATTTATAAGGGAAAAAAATTGAATTCGACTACCAAATGCTTAAGATCCAACTTCTAAAACTTGATAAGCAACATAAACATTATGATAGGTATGTAATAGATGAAATGGCTAAGCAGCAAAACAACATAATACTTCACATGTCTCCGTATCATTGTGAACTTAACCCTATTGAATTAATCTAGGTTGACGTTAAACAATACGTAGCAGATAAAAACTCAACATTTAAATCTGGAGACATTAAAATTCTTTTTGAAGAAGTAATAATATTAATTTCTCCAGAAAAATGGAAAAAGTGTATCGACCATGTTCGCCAAAAAGTTGAAGTAAAAATGTGGGAGTTGGATAATATTATAGAGGTTCAGGTAGAACCACTTGTAATTTTGATTAATGAAGATAGCCTTTCAAGTCTAACTAATTTATCCGATTCAGAATAGTGCTAAGTCAAGTAAGGAAGATTGCTTTAATACAGGGTACAAGTTGTCTAATCTAAATACTAGTAGAACAAGAACAATAAAAAACAAAAGTTATCAAAAATACAAAAGGTTTCTTTTTAGAATCATAATTTTAAAGCAAATACCAAATTCAAATACTAAATACCTCTTATGTTTAAAGTTTTTTTAATGCTTTTAGTAGATATATTAGCTATTAAAGAATTTGCAATTATTTGGACACCTTGTACAATATAATTTTATAATATGATTGTTTTAATGCTCTGTATCACAGTAGACATATATGTAATAAACTAAATATAATGCAACCATCTCTTTTAAAGTCAAATACATTTATTAATTTGTATTGCAGTTTAACGCAGTTTATGTCGCTCACCTATCTTCGTCCAAAAATGTCACTAAAGTCTGGGAGACCGTGTATGGCATTTATTTTATAGTTTTACTTTACAAAATATGTGTTTATCGTAATAAAAAAATAATTTCACAATTACACTCTTTTATTTTACATTTTTGCAAGACGGAAAAGTAAAATACGGCCCTGCTCAATTTTAGCGTCCACCTGCTTCTGTTTACATGAGGTGTAAATTAAATTTGAATAGACTTTAGGAAGAAAGAGTAACCGACAAAGGCGTTGGTTCCAGAGGGACAGAAATCTCAACTATCTACAAATGAAGTGGCTAGCAAAAAAGCAAAAATGTGGTAATTACTAGTGACTAAAATTATTTTTAATCGAATCAAAATTGATACTGGATAAACTGTAAATAATTTGTTTTCTGAACGGTTTCTTGTTTTCTGAATAAAATCGTTAATTTTTATAAGTATATATGATGAATCTTATTTTTTAAAGGTTACAAAAATTCTCTTTTATTCACACTAAATTCTGAATAAGTTTTTATTAACTTCTTTTTATTAATAAAGCTAGAGTTTGTAATTCTCACTAGCTTTTAAAAATAAACAAAGAGAATTATTGGTGCCCAACATTACCTAGAAAAATTATACCCTAAAATTGTCTATTTGAAAAGCCGAATTCACGACAGAGAAAAGTATGGTCAAGTGCTCATTTATTTTTTTTTTATTTTTAAGGTAAGTAACATTTGCTATTAAATTTCACTGAGCTAGTAAAAATCTCTATAACTGTTTTGAAATTACATTTATCAAAAAGGTAACGAATAATATTACAAAATGGTGGGCAAAGTGTCAAGGTAATATTGCAAGTGATACAATATATTTAGAGAACTACTACGGTAAAATCAGTTATATAAATTCGGTTTCAGAAAACTAGACGATGCTACATTTTTATTGGCTATGAACTTGTGTCTCAATTAATATCGTTAAAGTACAGGACATGAATGCCTAATATATCAATTTAGGTGACTTACCGAAAATTCGTCAAATTAGAACTGGTATGGTTGAGCTGCAATTTCAGTGACCTCAACTTTGAATTTCTGGTTTCTCTCACAATATTTTCGGGTGTTTGAGTACTTTGATCTCGACGCTCAGTTCGGCGCTCAGTCAAACCCTGTCCCGTTCCGCTGCCTCCGTTAACGTAAGGAAGTTGAACGTGGGATGAATTTAATCTCAAGTTGCTTGACGATCTGAAAATAAATAGTAATTTATATATCAAGGCAGGGCTGGTGATTGTAATTTAGAGGTCTAGATCACAGTTTGCAAAATCTTTATCAAAAAAATCAATTCGGATATTTTGTAACTGTATTCTTTTTATTTATTTTTAGGCTATTGCTTAGCTTTTATCGCGGGCTTTGAGCGCGGCGACCGAATCAAGAAATTCCGTAACGCGTAACGAAAAAAAAAACCTAACACCCCCCACTCCGACCGGAACAGCGTTAAATAAAATTAACTTCTCATTTATTCAATAAAAGAAAATCGAAAAATCGAAAAATCGAAAAATCGAAAAATCGAAAAATCGAAAAATCGAAAAATCGAAAAATCGAAAAATCGAAAAATCGAAAAATCGAAAAATCGAAAAATCGAAAAATCGAAAAATCGAAAAATCGAAAAATCGAAAAATCGAAAAATCGAAAAATCGAAAAATCGAAAAATCGAAAAATCGAAAAATCGAAAAATCGAAAAATCGAACAATCCAAAAATCGAAAAATCGAAAAATCGAAAAATCGAAAAATCGAAAAATCGAAAAATCGAACAATCAAAAAATCGAAAAATCGAAAAATCGAAAAATCGAAAAATCGAAAAATCGAAAAATCGAAAAATCGAAAAATCGAAAAATCGAAAAATCGAAAAAATCGAAAAATCGAAAAATCGAAAAATCGAAAAATCGAAAAATCGAAAAATCGAAAAATCGAAAAATCGAAAAATCGAAAAATCGAAAAATCGAAAAATCGAAAAATCGAAAAATCGAAAAATCGAAAAATCGAAAAATCGAAAAATCGAAAAATCGAAAAATCGAAAAATCGAAAAATCGAAAAATCGAAAAAATCGAAAAATCGAAAAAATCGAAAAATCGAAAAATCGAAAAATCGAAAAATCGAAAAATCGAAAAATCGAAAAATCGAAAAATCGAAAAATCAAAAAATCGAAAAATCGAAAAATCGAAAAATCGAACAATCCAAAAATCGAAAAATCGAAAAATCAAAAAATCGAAAAATCGAAAAATCGAAAAATCGAAAAATCGAAAAATCGAAAAATCAAAAAATCGAAAAATCGAAAAATCGAAAAATCGAAAAATCGAAAAATCGAAAAATCGAAAAATCGAAAAATCGAAAAATCGAAAAATCGAAAAATCGAAAAATCGAAAAATCGAAAAATCGAAAAATCGAAAAATCGAAAAAATCAAAAAATCGAAAAATCGAAAAATCGAAAAATCGAAAAATCGAAAAATCGAAAAATCGAAAAATCGAAAATTCGAAAAATCGAAAAATCGAAAAATCGAAAAATCGAAAAATCGAAAAATCGAAAAATCGAAAAATCGAAAAATCGAAAAATCGAAAAATCGAAAAATCGAAAAATCGAAAAATCGAAAAATCGAAAAATCGATAAATCGAAAAATCCAAAAATCGAAAAATCGAAAAATCGAAAAATCGAAAAATCTAAAAATCGATAAATCGAAAAATCGAAAAATCGAAAAATCGAAAAATCGAAAAATCGAAAAATCAAAAAATCGAAAAATCGAAAAATCGAAAAATCGAAAAATCGAAAAATCAATACAATACAATACAATGA